CCACTGCACTCCAGTCTGGGCGACAGAGTGAGACTCCAACTCAAAAAAAAAAAGAGCAGGTGCACAATTCCCTAAGTTGTCCTTTCTCACTATGGTGAACACTGAGATCCAATGCCACTAAGGCTGCAGCTTCATATAGCGAAACCTGCAGAAGCTTTACAATCTATTTGATATCATTGGGCCCACAATGACCAACAGTAGAAATGTAGACAGTGAGGACTTTTATTGTTTTAGGATCCTGAGGCTTGCGGGATTGTTCTGTACTGCAGCATAACTAGCCCCAACTGTACTTCTTAAAATCACATATGAGTACCTTAATGGGCTCCCCACTTCATATTTTTTCATAATCTTCCAAAAGAACACAGCTCTTCATACATACAAGACTATTTTAAAGACATCAAACATGCCATGCTTAGGTCTTTAAGAAATTTTGCATTAATGCATGATGTATCTACTAAAAGGTATATCTTACCATTTTTTGCCTCATGTGCTTTTAGTAGCCCAATAGGCTACTTTATTCATACTAAAGCAGTGCTGTGCTGAAGCCAATTCACACTAGCCAAGTGTTACAATTTCAGTAATGTTGTGATCCAGTTTATAAACAGCCTAAGAAATTATATAACTTATAACTTTATAAATTACATTAAAAACAAAATGCAAGCTCCAAATTCCTCAATTGCTTATTTTTTTCTCATTTTATTACTATTTATGCTCTTGAAGTTACTTATGCCTGTTGCAAACATATGTCAAAAATAATATGTTGTACTTGTGTGTATTTTTTTAGATTGTTTTCTCTTAGGAAGATAATAGAGAAAATGTTAATAAAGCAGATTAAGATTAAAAGTGAAGTGTGTCTGTAATCATTACATTGTCAACACACACATACACATTTTTAGGAAATACTCTCCCTATATTCACAAACCATGATCTAATTTAATAAAAAAGTTGCTCACATCATTGATGAAAAAATATAGTTCTGACATAATTTTTATTATTTTACTTTATCTTACTTATTATCAGAAAGTATCAACCAACATTCATGATAGGATTATGCACTGAGAGTCAGTTATTAAATATTTACAAAAGTTATCTCATTCAGGAAGTTTTTCTTTATAATCTTCTTTCAGAAAGTTTTATCCAAAAGTTCAACTGTTATGGACTGAATGTTAATGTCTCCTCAAAATTTGTATGTTGAAGGGTTACTCTAATATGACTGCATTTGGAGAAAAAGCATATAGGAATTGATAAAAGTTAAATAAGGTAGCAGCAATAGGCCTCAACCCATTGGGTGGGCGCCCTTATTAGAAGAGAAAGGGTCAACAGCACTCTCTCTCTCTTTCAACCACGTGAGGGTTGAAAATGAGAAGGCAGCAGCCTACAAACCAGTAAGAGAGCCCTCATCAGAAACTGCATCAACTAGCACCTTGATCTTAGAACTTCTAGCCCTCAGAACTGTGTGAAATAAATTTATGTTGTTTAAGCCACCCACTCTTCAAAGTTTTGTTATGGCAGTCCAAACAGACTAAAACACCAAGTAATCTGAGTAAGGTTGTTCCTGACTGCTTTTATTTCTCCTTTAGCATAATATTATCCAAGAGCCGATTACACTCTAACATAAACGCTTCTGTTAGTCACAGCCAGTACAAATAGTTATTTTGTGTATACCGCATATGAAGTACTTTCTAAATTTTAAGTTAGTCCCTCTGAACAAGTCAAAAAATGTATCTTCTCTTATGGAGTTTACACTCTAATGTACAAGGAGAAAATAAACAAGTTAGATTGGTAAAGACAGCATATGGGAATCATGAAAAATGAACAAAAATTAGACAATGTTAAAACAAATGATTGTGAGGAGAGGGCATTTTGTGTATCAGGTGGTGTTGATTTGCCATTTGAAATGAGTACCTTAGCTTGCTCCACAAATTCCTCAGTTCTCTGCTATTTTTTTTTCTTCTTTTGAGACTGAATCTCACTCTGTCGCCCAGGTTTGCGTACAGTGGCATGATCATAGCTCACGGAAGCCTTGAATTCCTGAACTCAAATGATTCTCCCACCTTAGCCTCCCACTTTGCTCGGATTATGGGTCCCTGCCACCATGCCCAGTTAATTGTTTTTTTTTGTTGTTTTTTTTTTTTTTTTTGAGACAGAGGTCTCTCTATTTTGCCCAGACTGATCTTGAACTCCTGACCTCACACAATTCTTCCACCTTGGTCTCCCAAAGTGTTGGGATTACAAGCATAAACTAATACACCATGTCCAATTGTATGTTTTTAGGAATGAAGAATCTCTTACCTCTAACAGATGGCCTTTTCACAGATGAGTCTACCTCCAAATATTGACCTTCGCTAATGTGAATAGCTTCTGTATAGGAAAAGTCTCTTTCTTATTGGAAGCACACAGCCAATGACTAGACAACAAACGTTTAGAAGGGCCTGGCATCTTTGTCTCAATTCAAAGCATTTCTGCATGACCATTCCAGAACTCCCCTTGAGATTGGTTGAGGCTTTTGTATTCCTGAAATAGCAACTAACTGTTCCCATATAACTACATCATCAACAACCAACTTCTTCCTCTGCTGTTTTGGCTTCCTTAACTCCCACGGCTGTTAGTCTTGAAAAAAAACTTTTTACTAATATTCTTACATACAAATATCTCTGTCTTAGATTCTGTTTCATGGGAAATTCAACTAGCAATAGGTGGCAAAAAAAGTGGTTCAAATAAGCAGATGTTAAAATATTTGACTTAAATTACTCACAGACTTGTTGACAGAAAGATTTCCTTAATGAGTGGTAGGTGGACCATAGATAATCTCTGACAATATTGCAAATGTGCAATTGTTAAAACTTCCATTGGTGGTGAACTAAGCTGGCATGCCAGTGGGAAAAAATGCACTGGCATGTGTAAAATAGCAGATGTCCTGAAACATAGGAAAAATTATGCCAACAATAGAGATGGATGATTATTGCTGGGGACAATAAGAGTGAGTGTGATGGATTGGCAATTAAATACAAATTGTGAATATCAGAAGGAATCCTGTTAGCATTCTAACAGACTAGCATCTTATAAATCCAGAGTGCAGAAAAAGTTGAGCCTCTGGCCCAAGGCTTAGCTACTTCTGAGGTTAAATTTTCACTCAAATATATCTATTACAAAGAAGTCAAGACATTAATTGCAAAGGTGAATTCATATATCAAATGAATTCATATGCTTGAAATAGTCCAAAATAATGAAACTAAAAATATATATCTGACCCTTCAGCAGAAGTGACTCAATTCTTTCAGTTACATGTTAGAATATGGAGTTTAACTTTAATAGAGTGCATTATTTAAAAAAAAAACCCACCCCCATCCCACCAGGGCGTGACCCTTACTCTCCTCCTGACCACTAGAACAAAACTAGGATGAAGGTACAACATAACCTTGTTTGGAATGTGCCAAATATGCTAAAACAAATAAACAAAAAGGCACGATCTCACCAAATAGGAAATATTACAAGTCAACATACACTTCCATGAAGTGGAAGAATATGGTTGAAATTAGAACCTGTGAGTGTTGAATCCAGGGGAACAAAACATAAAGCTGAACAGAAAAACACATGTCACTCTAGGAGCACTCTCTCGGGATGTAGTAGTCAATACTTTGTAATATCTTGACTAGTTCTCTGGGAGACAGCGTTCAATCATGACGAGAATTAGTCTTAGAAATCTGGAGAAAGCAGGTCAAGGAGGAATGTCAGGACCGCTATGACAGACAAAGCTAGTACAATTTAAAAGGAAGAGAAAGTGGGCACATGGAAGTGACTCATCATGCAAGTTCAACAAATCCACAAGGGAACCATGTGTTATGGGCAAGTTCTAAGGGATATTCGATTTACCAAAGTAATTAATATGACTATGAGTGAGGCAAGAGTGTCACCAAGAAATTCAGAGGCCATTTTCTTTGTTGATTAGGACTGAGAGTAGAAGATGTTAATACACTATTTTATACCATGATAGCATGGAGAGCGACAGAATTGTTGTATCTTAGAGGCCAGATGGCAGCACTTAATCATCAGAAGAAAGGTGGATGCAATTATCACAATGAGGAATAGAGAATTGATGACAAACAGATGAACCATAGAGATCTATGGAGGTAGTTAATAGAATATGTGCAATGTTAGTGGGGCTAAAATATAGAGGGTGCCATAAAAGTATGTGCGTATTAAGAAAGGAAAAAACTGTATTAAAATTATAATATTCAATAAGATGAATACAAGTCATGTTTGACTTTTTCAATTATAAGAGGTGCTCAGAGTGGTTGCCATCAGCACCCAAACATTTCTAATTACAGCAAACATCTCTTAAAAGGTATATACATTTTTTTGGCACCCCCTGGAATACAGTCTCAGTTACCAATTGGTTTGTTCAATCCATCAACTTTTTTAAAATAAAATTTTATATAACTTCTAATAAATGGAGGACCAAGTATTTGAGAGCAGCCACTCCAGTGAAAAATCATGTTCCCCTGCCCAGTTATTAAACCATACATATTGTATACTCAGAACCTAGTAACTGAAAGAGAGACCAGGTCTTCCAAAAACAAAACAAAAGCAAACAAAACAAAAACTAAACATACAAACAAATAAACAAAAAAGACTGCAACACTTTGGCAAGTGTGTGATAAGGCAATGATTATGCTAGTTCTTTATGAAAGGAACCTACAGTTCTTTGTTCAGGTAACCAACACTGAGGTAAAAGCAATGCCCTAACTTTTTGATAATTGGTCAATTCAGGATTCAGTTGTCACTGATATGAAGAGTTGCTTCTTAGAATGCAGCTAAAGGAAATTTAAATAATAAAATATGTCCTGGCATAGGTTAGACTCACCGTGGATCTTTTGCCTCTGAAGACTTATTGTCACTTCTTTTCTCTACAAATGTATGATTGGAATAAACATTTGTAGTAGCTGGAAAAAAGTGCATATTAGTTCATTGGCTAATTGGATAAGATCTACAGTAGTGAAAAAGGGCAAATTAAGCCGGGCTCGGTGGCTCAGCCTGTAATCCCGTGCCTTTGGGAGGCTGAGGTGAGTGGATTGCCTGAGCCCACGGGTTCGAGACCTGCCTGGGCAGTGAGACCTCATCGCTACTCGGAAGGCTGAGGCAGAAGGATCGCCAAAGCCCAGCAGGTCGAGGCTGCGGTGGCCGGGAGCGGCCACTGCCCTCCAGTCTGGGCGACAGAGTGAGACTCCAACTCAAAAAAAAAAAAAAAAAAGGGGGCAAGTTAAAAGTATCAATAAGTGCTGCTTACTACTCAAGATATAATATCAAGAGAAATATTATGTTGTGTGACAGAGGAAAATGTCAAAGATTAGGATTATTCTTAAAGACATAAATGACACCAGTGATATGACCTTATTAAATCCTCATTTTAATTTAGCAGTCTGACCCTAACAAAAAAAACCCAAAACATTCTGGAGAATGAAAGTGATTACAAACTCAAGCAAATCACAGATCAGTCACATCTGCGATTTCAGATGTTTACTTGCTAAAATAGATCAACACTACTTCAAATTCATGGTATATGGACATTGATTAGGGAACAGCAATTTTCCTCACTGCAATAGAAAATTGGAGTGTAAATGTTTACATTCATATAGTATTGATAACGGAATAAATGTATGGACTAGCCCAAAGACTATGGTAACTCTCTTGCCCTCTGCCATAATATAGTCGGAAGAGACCTGGATAAACTCTGCATGACAGGAATATCACATTGCTTCACTAGATTGTTGACATCACGTTCATCAGGTCAAAACAAAAGGTAGCAAAGCATGTTGGTCTAGAGTGCTTGTGATGAAATCTATGTTTCAGGAGCTGTAGAACATGCCTGTACATCCCACCAAAATAATCGACAATTATTGTAATTGTACCATAAATGAGGAAACAGTCTTAAATAGATAAGCCATTGTTTTTCTTAATAATGTTTTACAATGAAACATTTTTATTTTGACAATAATGGATTGCAACATACAATGAAAACTTAATATATTATCTTATAAATATTGGGGAGATTTATGGAATAGGAACAATGAAAATGAAGAGAATTGTAAAATGTGTGAAAGGTCTTCTATTATATTGGATGTAAGAGATTGTATGAGATAAAAGAACAAAGATGCTATATGATTTTTATGTTTATTAATTTTTATTTTTATGAGTATATAGTAGTTTTATATATTTATGGGATACATGTGTTGTTTTGATAAAAGCATACAATGTGTAATGATCACATCAGGGTAACTGGGGTATCCATTACCTCAAGCTTTAATTAATTCTGAAATTAGCCTATCCTATGGGTAGGTGACACCTAATAAAATATAGAAAACTTTTGTAAAAATACTTGGAACAGGTTAAATTCAATTTGTTTGATGAATCCAAGTGACAGTAATAAGAAAATAGATTTCTGAATTTGAGTTAGGATATACATGCATAAAATTTGGATTCCTAAGTCTGAAATAACTCACTTTATTTGAGAAAGAAGAGAAATAAAAAATGACACCTTGGTTATTGCAAGAGAGTTGTTTTTTTTTTAAGGAGTAGAATGGGCAAAGATTCTAAGAAGATGCAGAAATTAAGAGAACATTTTAAGAATGTGGAATTATAAAAATCAAGACAGATATAAGCTTAAAGAAAAATTGATGAATAAACTATATGCTGGATAGTTGACAAGTGAAGTAAAATCTGAACAAAAACTTGATTAAATTTGGTTTTCTTTCTTTTGAGTATTTTATTAGAAACATTAACAAATAAATATGAAAAAAGATTTATATATTCTTTGATGAGAATACTATGTTATCAATAAGCTTATTATTTGGAGTATTATAGCTGTTTCTAAAATAATTTGTAATAATTGAAGACTTTTTTCCTAAGGTAGTATAGAACTAGACCTATAATATTATACTGGGTTTTTTTCTTATTTTTAAATTTTATTTTATTTTATTTTAAAGTTGTGGTGTATAAGTCAGGAAACATTGAAAAATTCATTTTCATGTTCAGTGGAATAGTGGGCAAAGAGTATAGACTTTTGTCAAATTTGTCAAATATGGCCTTTGCTAAAGCCAATTTAGAGACAGTTAGAGAATATTAATTGAGTGAAGGTGAGATGGAGACAGCTATGTACACTTTTTGGGAAGAGGTGACATTTTGCTATAAGAAGTATAGTATAATAATATGGGAATTACTGAGATTGGAGATGATTTGCTGGGGTAAATGAAGCTTTTTATTTTGTTTCTTTTCAGAATTGGAGAAACAAGTCATGTTCCTATGCTGTTTGAAATTATTCAGTAAAGCAGGGCAAATAAATAAAGGCTATTTATATATATGTGCATATATATAAATGCACATATATATGCACATATATATAATTATGAATCACATTCTTTCAGAAGACAAATGAAGTAGGCACCAGAAAAGAATGAAAATATTATGCTTCTTTTATAACATTAGCCAGAAACAAATCATATGCAAGTTAATGTTTGTCTCTAGTCTCTAGTATACTTTCTGTAAAGCATCATGAAAGATTTTTGTAATATCATGAATATATAGTTCAGTTTTATATTCTCTATCTTTAAATCCCACACGAAAGAATTTAAACATAAATGACCTGGCCAGTGTTTTGTTGCGCACTGGCCAGCCCATTTGTTCTTTGAGCTATGGCCACCATGTATTCTTAGCTTTGGCCCTCTCCTCAACCTTGGGGAGGTGAATCTTCTCTCTCTCTTTCTAATTTACTTTCTAAATAAACTATATTTTTCAACCTAAAAAAATTTAAATATTTGGCATTTCTTTTGCTTTCATAGATGTTGTCCCTATTTCCACTGGACAATTAATAGTATTCACCTGCATACTACAAGTCACCTCTGTCAAAATATAAAATGAGACTTTTATTCTCAAAATGTATGTGATCTTTTTCCTACTGTCATTTTTTTGGTATTTGTTGTAAATCCTTATTGCTTTCAGTCATTCCTTCATATATTTGAATTTTATTCTGCTTACTGGTGCCATATTCCATTCAATAATACCTCTCTGTCACATATAATAAAGTCACTATAGATACAAGTGACTTATAATGAGAAAGGTCTTCAGATACATGCACAATTTTCTAGATTCTCACTGTGTGAAGTCTTTTACTTGCCATTCAATTTTGTGAAAAACGTATTGATATCAAAGAATAATGTTTTCTAAGGAGTTACACTGTCTAGATGTGGGAGTTTCAGTCTTAAAGGAGAATGGATAGACAGCAATTTGACTCTGTGGCTTAGTCTAAAATGTGATCTTAGAAATTTGAACTATGACTATACTACAATATATGCAGACTTGGATTTCTTTATATGTTTTTTTTTTTTAATGTAACTTCACTAGCTTTCACACATCATAAACTCTGCAAAAGAGAACTGACCTCATCTTTTATATAGGGATAACTGCTTCTCCGCTCAGCACATTTCCAGTCATTCCTAAATAATTTAGCAAAAAGCTCATTTTGCAAACAAATCAAAAACACAAAATACTTCTTCCCTAGGAAATGTTTTATAGAAATAAAGGATGCTAAACAGTATGCTTTGCATTTTTATTAAATGTTCTGTATTTTTTATTAAGTATTTCAACTTAAATATGGTTCACATAACTTAAGCAATGTAACAATGTAGTTCAATATGATAAATTAGTAGGCCTCTCATTTATTTGGGACTATCATGTATATGTATGGTTAGAATAAAGCATTATCTGAAAGCTTTACACTTTTATTTGTAAATTCACTGTTGTTTAAAAGAAATATTAAGAAATATTTTCAAAGTAAAATTTTGAAATTTCAAATAAAATCTCTAATTCCAAAGATGTTTGAGATTGTAGTTTTATATTGATTTGCTTCATTTTGTGACAAAACCATGCCAATTATACCACATATCTTCTAAAATTAAAGATAAATTAATTTTATTCTCAAAGACTTGCAATACTTTTCTGTTTCAATAGAGATATTTTAATAAAGCCACATAATAAAATTGGTCATCAAATTTTGAACCTACACAAAATGTTGTGAATCACTGAACTGCCATTAGTTTTACATCATAAGATGTTTGTAGCATAATACATTGTTATAATATAAATTTGGATCACATTTCAGATTTTCATTGGCTTTTTTTCTTTAGTACCTTGGCTTTATTTTTTCCTTTTCTTTGCTATACCTTGCTTATCTTTAGTTAAAAAATCCCAATAAATTTGAAATATTCTTTGACTACATTACTCTGAGAAGCTGAAACATCTGAAATGTTGACAATGCAAAGCAATTCAGGGTTTTTGACAAGCACTATATCCAGCTTTAATTTCACAGAACTAAAATAGTCCCTGTTAGAGTACTGTGATACAATCAACATTTCAGATTGATGCAAGCATCAATCTAAATGTTAGGAAATGAATTATTATATACTTGTGTGTTTAATCGGTATTGATGTGTATGTGTGAGTTTTAATCTTCACCAAATATTGAGAATAACAGATTACCTACCACTATACATGATAAATAAAATATGTTTAGAGACCACTTTAAGAATAGTTCTCGAGCTGGAGGTGGTGGCTTATTCCTGTAATCCCAGTACTTTTGTAGGTGGAGGTAAGAGGACTGCCTGAGTCCAGGGGTTCAAACCAGCCTGGGAAAATGGGAGCGATCTGTCTCTACAATAAATTAAAGAAAAAAAGTCAGTTGGGTGCTGTGGCACTCACTTTTAGTTCCAGCTACTTGGAGGCCTGAGGCAGAAAGATCACCTGAGTCCAGCAGGTCAGCGTTGCAGTGGTATCTCAATGTGGTTTTGATTTGCATTTCTCTGATGATGAGTAGGCTGAGCACTTTTTTCATGTGCCTGTTGGCTGCTGTATACCTTCTTTTGAGAAGTGTCTATTCATGTCTTTTGCCCACTTTTTAATGGGGCTGTTTGTCTTTCTTCCTTTTTATGCATTTGAGTTCCATGTAGATTCTAGATGTTAGGCGTTGGTCAGACATACAGTTGGCAAATATTTTTTCTCACCCATTCTGTGGGCTGTCTCCTTGCTCTCTTGATGGCTTCTTTTGCTCTGCAGAAGTTTGTTAGTTTGACAAGATCCCAAAAATGTGGTACTTATACAGAACGGAATATTCTGCAGTCATAAAGAAGGACAAATATATAGACTTTGCAGCAACTTGGATGAGTTTAAACCCGATCATACTCAGTGATCTATCACAGAAGCAAAGACCAGAGAACCATATTTTCTCACTCATAAGTGAAATTTTAGCAATTATAATACTATAAGAAAGGGATTGGCAGTACTGGGGAACTGTCAGGGGATGGGGAGTTGACAGTTAAGGAAAACTGCTAGGGGAGGGAGGTCATACCTCATCAACAAGAGTACCCGCATAATCAACATTTGTATACCTAACCCTGAATTGTACCCCATATATTTATTTTTTAAAAAAAGTTGCAGTGGCTGTGAGTGTGCAACTGCATTCCAGCCTGGGCAACAGAGTGAAACTCCAACTCAAAAAAAAAAAAAAAAGAATAGTTCTCATATAAACTGTTTTGAAATTTTATTACACTTCTAGAAAAAAATTGATTTGCTAGGAACATAACACAAATCTTGGACAAGTCAGTAGCAGAATATCAGAAAGTATGATATTTGAGAGATAATAAAATATTTATTATTCTCATATTCTGGGTGTATTAAATAATGATAGGATTATCTCTTCTTTTCTCACTGTAATATTAAAAAGGTATTAGTTCTTAAAATCATATATATTTTCAAAAATTATTTTTCTTCAATTTTTAAGCTTATTGGAGATAATTTTAATTTATTATTTTATTGAGTATTTGCCCTGAGGTTATGTAAATACAAGAACAAATATATTTTTAGTATTGTTATACAACTTTCAATAAAGTAGAGTTCTAACAGGTGTGAGAAATGAAAAAAATACTGTAATCTTAAATTCTGTAGAAATCTTCTTTGCTAGGCTAAAGTAAGAAGTTGAGCACTTTTCATATTTCAAACTTAAGCAAAATGTAATAATCTTCCCCATATATGCAGACCAAAGATAATTTTCTGTTTTGGTCCAGTGTTTTTAATATTACATACAAATTTCAGTGTAATATTCCTAAAATAGTCAAGGATAATTTTTGTAAATCATAATAGTTTGCAATAATTAATTAATTTAATGTTTATTATTGTGTCTCATAATAAAATAATAACTGAATTCAACAATTTTAATTCAGTGTTAAATCTTTTCTCCTTAATTTTGGTCTTCTTTCCTTCCCACTTATTTTCTTTCCCTTCCTTTCTTTCTTCTTTCTTTCCTCTTTCTTTTCTTTATTTTGTGTATTTTTGAGAGAGATATTTTAGGATTCTCTGGTAGCAAAGAAGATTGACAGCCAAGACAAACATACATGGAAAATAAAAAGAAAATATTGAGATGGAGATAAATACTAAACAGCATTCAAATTTAGGTTGACATTAACTAGATAAAACGTGACTAAGAGAAAGACGTGCAAACACACAGAAAGGTGAGGGAATAGGGCAAAATCAAATAATTTAATGACACTGATGGGTACAGTTTACATTTGGGGAAGTGACATGAAAGAATGTCATTGAGGAAATCAGAGTGCAGGTCATTACAAATCCTGGGTGCCCTTACAAGAAATTGGAATGAAAAGAACATGAAAAACACAGAAGTGTAAGAAGGAAACCACAATTCCTTTTTGAAAAAAAATCTTCAACTGCTTATATTGTTTGGAAACTGTAAAGTGCCTGTGAAAAGATGTGTGTGCATTTTTATTTAAACAGAAATAGGCTTTGGTATCGAAAATAATGCAGAATAACAATAATAGTTATTAGGGTGCGGAGGGTGGAGGCAGAGGGGCGCAGCACCGCCTAGCTGGTGTGCCAGAGGTGCGCGCTGGTAACCAGCGATCTGAGTACCGCAGAGATTTGCAGCACACGAAGACGTGAGAGAAGGAAACATGTATTTAAGAAAGAGATCCTAACCGGGCTCCGTGGCTCAGCCTGTAATCCTGCGCCTTTCGGAGGCTGAGGTGAGTGGATTGCCTGAGCCCGCGGGTTCGAGACCCGCCTGGGCAGCCAGACCTCATCTCTACCATCAATCAAAAAATCAGCCGGGCGTGGTAGCGCATGCCTGTAATTCCGGCTCCTCGGAAGGCTGAGGCGGAAGGGTCGCCGGAGCCCAGCAGGTCGAGGCTGCGGTGACCGGAAGCGGCCACTGCACTCCGGTCTGGGCGACAGAGTGAGACTCCAACTCAAAAAAAAAAAAAAAAAGAAAGAAAGAAAGAAAGAGATCCTTCCCACACACAGGAAGAGGGCTGGCACTCTCAGACGAGTGTGGCACCGCAGCCCTCCGAGTCACGGCTTAAATCCTTTCCCTTGGAGATGCTGCAATCAGGTAGATGTGTCTGCTGTGACTCCCTTGTTGACAACTTGCGAATGTCTTGGAGACCCTGAAGGGCCAGAATCCCAGTCAGCAGGCACCGAGTCATGGTTTCTCACCACCCCCAGGAGTTTATTTTCAGATTACAATAGGCCGATACCCGTCCTGCTTGAGGGGTCTGTGTTTCTGAAAAGACAAAATCAGCAAAGTTAATCTTCATCTCGAGTATGCGTTTCTTCAGGACATAGTTTCTATTTTCTCATCATTGTGTTAATATCTAGTAACAAAACAAAATAGCTTCCTGCTCTCAGTCTATCCTTTCAATAATTTTAAAAGAGTTTAAAATAACCTGAAATATACATACATGTAGTAAATATGTATGTATGTATATACACATAGCCATCACTATATTTCTTGTATATAAACAAATTATTCCATAATGAGTAAATATTCTCATTTTTTATTTTTTAATTTAAGAAGAATATATGTCTCTATTTCCTTAAGATAACATTTATACAGCTTGGAAATCTATTTGTCCAGCACAAGTTTTTCTGGTAGGCAACAATTTTCCAACTGCATAAATATATTTTCAATTGCATTTCTCACAAATATTCTAAATCCAATTTGTTCTAAACAAGGATCACCTTCATAATACTTAAAAATTCAGTTATTGTTCATATTACTTATTGCTTCTGGTTTTACAATCCTCTAATTTTCCCTTCCCTTGATTAGCTATGTGGTTGATTAAGAACTCTTATTGAGTATAGGTTATTAATACCTCTTTACTTTATTTCTTCTGTTTATTCACCCTGGTGAACTGGGAAATATTTAAATAATTAATTTGATATTTTCCATATTTTATATATTTATGAGTGGAATCTGGCTAGTTTCCCTCTTTTCAATCCTACCACTTCTTCACTCAATACTTCCTTTGGCTTTCAGTTCACTACCCAAAACATAAAATACCATATATTTCTACTTATATCTTCCAGTGCTTCCCATTGACTTTTTTTTTTTTTTTTTTTTTTTGAGTTGGAGTCTCACTCTGTCGCCCAGACTGGAGAGCAGTGGCCGCTCCCGGCCACCGCAGCCTCGACCTGCTGGGCTCCGGCGACCATTCCGCCTCAGCCTTCCGAGTAGCCGGAATTACAGGCGAGCGCTACCACGCCCGGCTCATTTTGATTTATTGTAGAGATGAGGTTTCGCCAAGTTGCCCAGGTGGGTCTCGAACCGCGGGCTCAGGCAGTCCACTCACCTCGGCCTCCCAAAGCGCGGGATTACAGGCTGAGCCACCGAGTTTGGCTCCCATTGACTTTAAAATAAGATATATAGAGAGTAGCCTGTGATGCCTGTTATTGTCTTGAGTGCTTTAGTCTTCAACTTAATATTGTCATTCCTTTATCCTTCCCTTTCCGTACTTGTGTGTATGCAATATTCAGATAACTACACTTTACCTAGCATGTTATATATTTTTTTGGCTTTATTCCTTAGCTTATGCTCTTCCTTTGACCAAAATCTTTTTTCACCTCCTTCTTGTTCCAGCTTGCTAAGGGATACTTAACCTCTAAGATTCACTTATAAATATATTCCCTTCCCAAAATACTTTTCAAATCACTTTAGGTTATATTAAATATATTTTCTGTGTGTTCAAATGGAATCTTAGAGCTACAGGTAAAGCTGTTCAATATCTTATTAAATAAATCACAATGTAATTTTAAGCACCATTAGACCATTTTTTCTCATAATTTATTGATATTTATAGACTCATCATGTCTATCCTTAGAAGTCTACTTTAAATCAGTGAAATCACTCTTTTAAGTACCTTTAAAATATATCTTTTAAAATTCATAAGACAAGATAAAGAGTCCTTATGCTTTTCCTCATCCGTGTTATAAGAGTTCTAACATTTTCAGAAAGTGTTTCTTAAAAAAGAATGTTGAGACATTGTTTAATAAGAAAAGAAAATGCAGGCTTATAAAAGGTGGAAACTTTGTGCAATTAGATGATTATTTTTTGCATTCTACTATTAACATAGGCCAATCTCTCCTTTCATTATTGTATCTTTAAATCTATTTTTTTCTAGAAGACATATACTCCTTGATGTAACTCATTCTACTAATCACAGTCTAACCTACATAAAATTTTCTTTTGTCTAACTCCCAAGCCACCTAAAAATCTTTGTTAAATGAAGATTTACATATGTATGACCTTATTGTACTTATACCATTAAAATTTAATCTTCAAATGGTAAAGCATATCATTAAATGAAGAATTAAAAATGAATGTTTCATTTTCTTTTGGATATTATGCCTTGTTTAGCATAATTTTAGGTTAGAAATTTACTAAACTAGGATCATGGTTCATTAAATTCTAGCCAATAACCAAATAATTTATTTAAAATTTTAGATTTCATCTCTTTAAAATGAAAAATCACCATTTTTTTTTCTCCCTAGGAAAGATAAATTTATAGGAGCTTTACCAGGTAATTTCAATTGTAAGGCTGGTTTAAGTTTGGTTACAATATCTGACATACATCAATATGGTACAGTACTGGACGGGACTTATGAAGTCTGAGATCTCTTCAACACTCTGTTGCTCAAAGAGATTTGCATTTCAGTCTTCAAAGGTCATAACTGTGTTTTATGAATTTCTTTTACCAAATCACATTGAGCCTACAAAAACAAATATGAATTTATTGGGGTATAGATATGATCAGTTAATAAATTTAGACTGTTGATCTGGTAGATTTCTGAAGGACTACTCTGTCAGACAGCATCTGCATTCTCATGCATTTCCTGGTTGACAAATCCTCATTTCTAAGTTGCTGTTGGTCTACATAAAATATTCTTGTATTTAACCTTTAAGCTATATTGGAAAATACCTGAGATATATTAGGTATAAGTGTCCAAGTGGATTTGGTTATTTTAGATGACCCAAATTTTAGAATGGGTTTAGTGCATAACATTATGCCCTTCATATGTCATTTCCAAAAAACAGAGCTTTGCAACTAAGTCACTTATTTGTGACAGTAACATAATGAAGCACATTGATATATGTTATTTTTTGATAACAACATATGAAGTTCACATTATGTTTATTTTCCTCTTAAAATGCTTCCATGAAAGTGACTGAATAATGAAAATGGTAATTGAATTATTGAATATAAAGTTATAAAATAATAACAATCATGATTTTTAAAATCTAGATACCCATAGCTTCTGGTGACTGGCTCATATTTATATATTCATATATATATTTTTTAAATATGGCATAGTATAAATGCAAAGCTCTAATTTTTCATAGTGCCATAAAAGATAATAAATAAATCCAAAATGACTATTTGTTTTATAAAAACATTAATAAATAACCCTTATTGTATATATTCAGACACCTTGTAAACCTGTGTTTCCACAGTTTACATTGTCAGAATGAACTTCTAGGAGTCTGACATATTTTAAACAACCTTCTACTCAAAAAGATTTGCATTGTGTTATAATCAATAAGAAAGCCATTCTCAGTTTGAATATACATTCTGATTTGATCAGATATTTACTGATTACTCTCCTACATAGATTAGAGAGAATATGACTTATTTTATATAAGAATAAATCATTGTTCCTAAAATACATGATCACTTAATATTGAGTGTGTGGTCAATAATTTTGTTTTATTTTTTTAACTAAAATCTTTCTAAAACATATGGTGTGAAAAATGACATATCTAGGGTAGCGAAAAAAAAAAGAGAAGACTAAATGAAAAGATAAAGTAATATAGAAGTGGTTAGATCTGAAAGACCTGTGTAGGATTGTATCTCTTCAGCAAGACCTCCATTTTCTGTTTATTGCTTTTAGTAGGTAGATTTGAGTATTTGAACAAATCTTTGTGGTATAACTGACCATTTCTGGGTTTACTATTTTGTACACGAACAAAATAGTAATTTGGTTCTTTTTATTAAGCACATTATTAAAATGTTATAACTAATTATGTAGAAGAGGATAAGTACATCTGTGGGAAAAAAATCTAATCATTAAAGTATTGAGCATTAGCCTTGTAGCAACACAACTCGAGTTCAATTTTCAGTTTTCCTTCTTGCCATTTATGTGACTTCAGCAAAGTATTTAACCACCCCATGTCTCAGCTTCCTAATTCATTGGTTTATGTAAAGATTAAGAAATTTATTAGATAAAGGTTTTTCAAACAATTTTTGTGCACATAGAAATGTCAGAACCTAATACTGTGAAGGTATTTTGACTCATATCAAAATCTAGATCTTGAGTTCTTAACTTGGAATACATGGACTCTGTGTGTGAAATTCAGGGGATTTACAAAATTTGTCATAGAAAAAAATGAATCTTTGAAATAAATATTTTTATTTGATGTGACATTCTTTGCAGCTATCTCAAAGTGCCGTTTCTAGTAATTATGACTACAAAATTATAATAGTTATTTTGATCTACAAAATATCAATGATTACCATCTTTCTGTCCACAGATGGCTATGCAATAAAACTGGCCATCTAGTGATCTAAAATAGGCTTAGCAATAGTAATTTGGCCACAATACACTCAGATTCAGAGCTCTCCACTCCCGACCCAGACAAGAAATTCTTTTGCATCATTGACTCTTCCCAATCATTTCCCAATCAGTATGTAGAAAGCAGTTAATGGTCAACCTAGAGTTTTGTGTTGCACAATTAGACTTTACACAGACCCATCTGAAAACATAAAATGTAACTTACCTAAATTTAAATTTTTCTTACTTATTGTGTTTAACAAAAGCATATATATTACTATGTAACAATTTACAAAATACTTTAATAACTGTCAATATATTTTATTTCCTTGTACTGCTATGCATTTATCTTTTATTTATGCATTTAAAACCATATTATGCCAAATAACACACACACATTTACATACAACTTTCAGAATCCTGCTTCTAAGTTGTTTGTAAAAACTCAGATGAAATGTATTTTAGTAAACCTTCACTGTTTTCTCTAAACAAAATAATAGTAACCCCTAAATATTAAGTGACTTACCATATATCAGTCCGGTACTTTATATACTGATAATCTATTCAGAAACTTTGCAGGCTGTTTGTTTTTATACTCAGTTTACAAACACAGTTCAAAGAATTTAAATAAATACTCAAGGCTATCCAGATTATAGGTTGAGTTAGAATTTGAAATTATTATTTTAAAAGCAATCTTAGATTTATTATTTTCTTGCTTTATTTATCTACAGCAGTTTTATCCTTATTGCTCTTAGTATATTGTAAGGCTCTCTGTGATTTATATCTGCATTTCTTGTGTGTGGCAACTGGCACAGGCATTTATACATGGTGGGTTCTCAGTACATATTTATTGGATAAATCAAAGGATGGATGAATTTTATTTTAGAGAAGAGAATGCAGAGACAAAGGAAAGAAACAAAAATGACAAATATAAACTTAAACTCATACATTGAATAGTCAGAAATTTTAATCTTTTTCTTTCTGAAATCATGTACATGATATTGACTCTTGCAAGATTTTTTTTTTTTTTTTGGTCTTGGTTTTTGTCTTTTTCAATGTATAAGACCTTAAAGAATTATTGCAAAAAGAGGCAAGGTCCTATATAATTATTTCTTAATAGCAGTATTTCTTTTCCTGAAGAAAATAAAGTGTGTTTTGTTCACTGTGTAGAAATTCATAATAATAAAATACTTGTCAATACAATGAGCTATTGTATTCCTAGATTGCATTTATTTTCTAAACTAGTCTGCTTTTCATTGTAGAACTTCTTTCAAATCAATTTAATCACAATAATATTAATAATGTATTAATCTTTTTCCCCCAGAAGTGATTTCTAAATTACTCCATAGCAAACAAATGCTTAGTTTTTTCCTCTTTCTTTTCTTTTAAGAAAACATATATCTAAGACAGCAAGTGGGGTTACAAAGTTCACACATTCTTACAAACATTGATGTTAGAAATCAGACAATCTTTCTTGCTTAGACAACATATTTTTGATAATAATATTATTTATTAATTTCTTTATCTTGAACCAGTCACAGCACTTAGGACTTTAACACAAATTACTTCAATTAAGCTTAGTAAAAATTCCATGCTTTATTATTACTTAAGTTTTTTTGTGTGAGGAAACTATGAAATCAATAATTTTAGAAAATTGCTCTGGTTTATAGAGTTAGTTACAGAGTCTGAATTGGAAACTCTGAGTGGTGTCTTTCACAGGCACATTGTTAGCCATTAAGCTTGTTTGTTTCCTAGGAGACAGATCAATGTTTATTAAGATCCTATCTCATGCTAGGCTTTCTTATATCCTTTATGAAAATCCTTTATTTCTCACAAAAAAATAGTGGTGTATTTCTTAATTATTTGCTTTCTCTTTCCCCTAGAGCATTTCTTTGAGTAATAATTGCTGAGCATTTACAGTTTGCAAGGCAATCTTCTGGTTGCTCGGAAACAAACAATGTGTAAAACCAAACTCTTTCCTTATGATACTTGCATGTTGGAGCTTTCCCCTTCTATCAATGGATCACTTAGAAGAGCATTGCTTAGGCCAGGCTTGGTGACTCAGCCTGTAATACCAGCACTTTGGGTGGTCGAAGCTACTGGGTTGCCTGAGCCCGCAGGTTTGAGACCAGCCTGTACAGCTTGGCCAGACCTCGTCTCTACAATAGATTAAAAAAAAAAAAAAGGCTGAGGCAGAAGGATCACCAGAGTCTAGCAGATCGAGGCTGGGGTGGCCATGAGTGTGCCACTGCACTCCAACCTGGGTGATGGAGTGAGACTCCAACTCAAAAAAAAAAAAAAAGAGCTTTGCTTAATTTCCAGATATTTAGAATTTTCTAGATAATAGTTACTGATTTCTAATTGAATTTCATTGTGACCAGAAAATATAATATATAAATTATGAATTTATT